AAAACTGCAATACTTCCACTTAAAAGGTATAAGTTAGAAGAAATCATATATATATATATATATATTAACATTAGGGTTCCTGCTAGAACATAATATTTTTGGATTTTGCCAAAAGTATGGAAAAATGAAGCTAAATTAAGAGGAAAGAGAATTACCCAATCTTTGAAGGGGAGTAAAAGAAGAAAGGTCAGACGACCTAACTTCCTTGATGTTCGTTAGTTTAGAACTTAAGAGAGCAGGAAATAGTGGTGGCAATGGCACTTTGGGAATGGGAAAAAGGAGTTCAGCCCAAAGTGACATTGTGTTCATATTTCACACTGACATCAAGGAAAACCGGACAAAGCCGGATCTCGCAATGCAATAAATCTTGTAGGAGTTTGTTTAAGACTTTAAAGTCAAAAAGGATCTAGACTTTTGCTTCCTGTGCTCAAGTGTTTGATATTTTTTAAGACATATCTGTGGAGCCATAGGGGCCCAAACATGACTGGCTTTGGGATTGTTGGGGTCTCATGATTCTTTTCACAATGGAAAATTATTCCCTTTTATAGTTTTATTCACCTTATCCTTATCTGTATGTCGTGTCTATTCACTCGTCAAACAATACTAGCAGCAATTGATGGTGGGATGTTCTCACAGGTGGAACCTTTTTTCTGTCAAACCCTGAGCTAGCCTCAAAATTTAGAAAAAATGACCAAAGGCAAGGGCTGCAATGAATGTAAAAGATGTTAAAGGCTCGATCACCTAGAATCTCTTTGCAGAGAGGAAAACGACATAGGGCAGAGTTGGAATAAAAAGGCTTATCCTAGATGTCTTCGTCTCCAAAGAGTGTGTGACCCGAAAGCTTAATTAATTCCATAAGGTAAAATGTCAGTTTGAGTCTCTAAACTTTTAATTTGAACATTTTTGTTCCCTAACTATTTTAAATATTTTTTTAGTCCCTCGGCTCTAAAAAAATGAACTTTTTTACTCTTATGTTAGTTAAGCCCATTAAGTCGATCCAAGGAAGGGGAAAGAGAGGAAGGGCCAAGAAGAATGGAAGACAATGTTAGAGTTGAAGGAGATAATCGGGCAAATAAAGGAGGGTGTTGGGGAATCAGATGAAGTTAGGAGGGTATTTATGTAATCTAAAGATTTTTTATTTGTTAAATAATTAAAATATATATTTAATTTGCATGGATCCCATTATCATATTAATTTGTGGAAATAAAAAAATTTTGCCATGTGGAATTTTCAAGTGACAATATTTAGTTTCTTTGTCAATATGGCATGTCACACTAGATAAAATTAATGGTGTGATTACGTAAGATAAAAAAAAGTGCATCTTTTAAAGTTAAAGAACTAAAATAATGCTTAAAATAGCTTAGGGATCAACAGTATTTAAAATTGAAAATTCAGGGACTCTAACTTGGCATTTATCCATTCCATAACAACAGTTACAACATGTCTCACCACATAAGACATGCGAGATGGCCATATCATAAAAGGGAAAGCATACTATATATCAATATGATTCTTTTTCCCCATTATCATAAGCTCAGAGTTGCACCAAAGTAGTTAAGGCAACTTGTCGCCTACTTCCAAAGATCAAACAAACATAATCATAACTAATTCTATAACTTTTTCTGCCACATTCAATGCCTAATTACAATGGGAGGACCCCATGATGGAAACATCGTGCACACAACATGATAATTGTACAGCAGGGCAGGCACAGAATTTATGAAAATTGGGCATTTGAGTTTCAAGCTAATGTCTATATTTAATTTAAAATTAATGAGTTTATATCCTTAAGATACATGTTAAAATGTAATAAATATATATTTTTTAATAAATTTATGTTAAAAAAATAAAAAATTCATCTATAATTTTTTAATTTTGTAATTAAATTCATCTATTTAACACTAACATTAAAATTAATATCATTTTTTTACATTTTTTTATATAAATTTATAACAAAAAATTACTCTTAACATGTGTCATAAGGACATACATTAGAAAAATTCAAAATTAATTAATTATTAGTTATAAATAAACTAGTTTATTTTGTTTTTTAATTCACATATCTTTTTGATTTTTTTTAATATGAGATTTTCTTACTTAATATGTTCTCTTCACATGTAAATTCAATATTACCTTTGAATTTTATTACATGAATCTTAGGTTATAAATTTAAGAAACTCTCTTTACGTATAAATCTTATTTATCATATGAATCTCGAGCTAATAAATAACCTTAATATGCCCTTTTCTCATGTAAGCTTGAACTATTAAGAGATTTAAAGCTTTCTAGAAATGAAGTTTAAACTTTGATATTATATGAAAATTAAGCATATGAATTTCAATGTAATATTTGTATTTAATTTAAAATTAATAAACAATAAATGAAATAGTCCTCTTTTTATTAACTCACATGTTTTACTGTCTTTCTAATATGATAATTTTTTATTTAATGCGCTCTCTTCACATATAGACTCATACTAACTTCAAATCCTATCATGATTTTTAGTTTATAGATTTAAGAGTATTGCTCAAAAAATACTAATTTTATTTGATTTAATTATTAAAAATAAGCAATAACTAATAAAATAATTAAAATTTATTA